AATAAATAATATCTTAAAAAAAAAAAAAAAAAGATGTATCAGCGGACTCCATGCTGAGCCCTGAGCCCAAAATGGGCCCCAATGAGCCCAACACGGGCCCTGATCTCACGACCCTGAGATTGTGACCTGAGATGAAATCAAGAGTCAGATGCCCAACCAACTGCACCACTCAGGTGCCCAGAAAAGTATTTTTTAATTTATTGCTTAAGTATTATTTTCTTCAAAATTTCCCCTTAGCTTTTTTAAGTGAGTGAATAATTTTGGGGGATGACTTAATTTCCTGATCGTCTCCTCCTCAGCAGTCCTGTGGGGGAGCAGGCCCCCTCCACGTCCACATTCTTGGTTTAAGGCCTGCCCCTCCCACTTCACTAACACCTGCCCTTGTCCCCAACAGGCCCTCACTCCCAATTCATCATGGCACCAACCACGTTTTCCTTTTTGCCACCAGACTGGCAGACTGTGGGAGCAAAGCTGTCTAGCCTGTGAGGACGGCTGACGTGCGGTTACCACCAGCTGCCGTCACATGATGGACTCCAGGGTGGTTGGGCGGCTCTCCTCAGGGCTCTCCTCCCGGTGCAGATTTGGGAGTGGGCTCTTCCCGTCCCGTGGCAGCACTGGGAAGAGGGAGGCAGTGGGAACTGTGCGGGGAGTTCATGGCCAGGCCTGGAAGCGGGCTCTTGTCACGGGCCAGGCCGTGGTCGCACGACCCCAGTGTCGCAGCCGAGGAGGCTGTGGGGCGCTGTCTGCTCACCAGCAGGCAGGAGCTGCACTTAGCAGGCCTGTCGAGGGGTGTGTTTGCCAGAAAGGAGGTGCTCTCTGTCCGCCCTTGGGTTGCCTGAGCAAAGGGTTGCTGTCATGGTCTCAACACCCAGGCCTGGCAGTAAGGGAGCAAGTCCAAAACAGACTTTGCTCTTGGGCTCAGCTGTCACCTGGACTGGCATCTCTCGTTCTTTTCTGTTTAGCCCTCAATCTGATCGGTCCCCGAGCTGTGGATGTGCTGTCTGAGCTGTCCTACGCCCCTATGACTCCAGGCCACTTCCCAAGTCTGTTTTGCAAGGTGGGTGCTAATAAAGTTTTAGTTTTTTAAATGAGTAGGGATTATTTCTTTTATAGGGATGGCAATAACATGTTCTTACTACAGCATCAGTGCCCACAAAGGGTGTTGTGGTTTTCATTAAGCAAACAAAATGAGTAAATTGATTTATTTTTCACTCTTCCAGGTCTCCCTATTCAGTAAGCATTAGGATATCTTTCAAAGGGATTTAACTTCTCTGATTATCAGCCCTATATATTTATTGCTTTGTGTAGCAGTGGATTAAATTTTGTAAGTTAAAGGATTATGACACGGATGCCAAAACATTCTAGTTAAGGTCAGGTGCCCTCTCTCCATGCAGTGCTTCCCCCTTTCCCTTCACAGGGTAACTTCTGTGTACTGGCATCTCTAGGGGAGCCGCAGTCTAGGTGAATCCCTGAAGAGCTTATGTAAGTTTCTTATATTTGGCAACAGTAGCAACTTGTAACTGAGTAAAAGAAATGGCAACTGAATACTGCTAAGAGAGGTCCAAACGGACCAGTGGTTTGGTAACCTGTAACAAACAGCTGGGGGACGGTTACTGATGAAGGCTCTGGGAAGTTCAAACCCCAGCTGGGATCTACCTACTGACTGTACAGTTTTTTTTCTTCATGGCGGAGGGAAAGCAACAGAAAACTGACCGTTAGCCATCAGCAGACCCTCGCCTGCATGGTTTGCTTCCTGCACGAGGGACCCACGTGCGTGAGCCTACAGAGTAGCGTGTCGGGCTCCCCGTGGGAGTAGTTTGCTACGGTGCCATCTGGGACCTGCCACTTCCAGGATAAGAACAGCGATTGTGTCAGAGGCCCGTTAGGTAACTGAGCCGCCGTAAACACATGTTGAGCATTAGAAGGCCAGCCTCTGACCCCAGAGAAGCAGGTGCACTGTGTTCTGTGGCCATCAGGTGTCCTCTTTTGTTGGACAGGTGCCCAGGACTTGCCAAATCCCCCGGAGAAGACATTTACCCGGTCTTCGTTGCTCCTCATGCCCCTGACTAAACTTAACAAACCGTTAGCAGGATTTTGTGAAAAGAAATGTTTCATGCTTGTTAAGACTTTGCCTCCACTTCCCACCAGCAGCTTGGCTGGCCCTCCTCTCATCAGAAGAGAGACTGCAGAGACAGTACTCCATCCCTGGTGACCCCAGTACTTGGAAACAGACCACTTTGAGGATGCATTTCTTTCATTGACATATATGTCCTTTAGGCTCAAACAGAGGGTGCAGAGCTAATGAGAGGGGTTCACGTCAGGTGGTCATCACTTTAAGAAACGCGGAGGGCTCACTTCCTCTGAAGAGTCTCCATACTCAACTTCTCCTTTTGCTTCCACAGGAGATGAGTGTGGGCTACGCGAATGGCATCCGGGTGATGAGCATGACTCACACAGGAGAGCCGGGATTCATGCTTTATATCCCCATAGAGGTGAGCCTCCCGGAGGAAGGCGGCTGGCTTTCCCACGCCTGCTGGGCCCTGGCAGGGTTAGAGAGCCGGATCGGACCGGGCCTTGGGAATTGAGAGAGGCTGCAGTAGAGGGACTTCAACATTTTGAACTAAATCATTTCCTTTTTGAATAGGAAATACATTTACACGGTTTAAAAATCAAAATCTGTAGGAAGGATTTAGTGCCACCTGACCAGTTCCCACCAACCACCACTAATGATCCAACTCTTAGTTTTTGTAGGTCATGTCGGAGATTCTGTGCATACACAAGCAAGTTCAAAGACACTCCTAACCCTTTTTTAGAAACACAGTTGGAAGCATACTGATGTTCTTCTTGATCTCTTAATAATGTATTGTAGAGCTCCTTCCCAGGCAGTACCTAAAGAGGAGAGCTTCCTCCTCATTTTTTATCCGTGGTTAGTAATCCTTCACCTCGCCGAATCCTCATTTACGCCATCAGTCTGGTACCAATAGACGTCTGTTTCTGTAGCGCTTTGTAGTGCTTTGCTGGTACAAGCAGCTGTGTGTACGAGTCTTCCCGTGGCGCGTGTGCGTGCGCGTGCGTGCACGTGCGCGCGCCCGCGCCGCTTTCACCGCAGCCGGTAGGTGCGGCGCTCGCACTGCGCTCTGCTGGGTGTGAGATGAAGCCGTTTCTGAACCCATTTCCGAGTAAAAGCTCATCAGTAGCACTGACGCACTCCTGCCTGCCTGCGCCCCATCCCGTTCTTCTGACCTTATCCTGCCTCCTCTGCCTCTTGAACACGCTGCTCTCCAGCCCCGGGGGCTTCGCACTCGCTCGCGCCTTCCCTGGCCCGGCCTTCCCCCCGAGAGAGGCTCTCACGGCCGCACCTGCTTCAGGGCTTGTTCACATGGCATCTTCCGAGGCGGCCGTACGGGCGCAGCCTCCACCCCACGCCCGGCTCTCCCGCTCCGCTTTCCCTGTGTGGTTTTGCTGCACGGCTTATCACTGTCTGATAAAATGTATTTTATTTCGTTCATCAGATTACCCTTATTTAAATGTAAGTTCTCTGGGGCAGGAATATTTAACTTTTATATCCCCAGCACCTAGAGAAGTATTTGGCACATAGTAAATGCTTAATAAATGTTGCACGGATGAATGTTCTGGGCATACCCTCCGTGCATTTTTGTATTGAATGATTGGTCTTTTTACCAGTTTCTAGGCATTGTCTGAATCAGTCCTTGCTGTTGAGGTGTATCCCAGTTTGTCATTTGTCGTCTTTTTTTGAAGATTTTATTTATTTTAGAGTGTGCACAAGGAGGGGACGGGCAGAGGGGGAGAGTGTCTCAGGCCAACTTGGCACTGAGCAGAGAGGCCAATGTGGGACTTGATCTCAAAACCCTGAGTTCGTGATCTGAGCTGAAACCAAGAATTGGAGGCTTTAACCACTGAGCCACCCAGGTGCCCCCCAGTTTGTCGTTTGTCTTTTTTTTGCCACATAGGTTTTTGTTTGTTTTTTAATTATGAGAAATGTTTCATACGTTGCAGAAATTTTTTCAATTTTTATGTAATTGAGTTGATCTTTTGTGCCTTCTAGAGTTTGATGCATAGAGGGGACTTCTCCAGGATTATAAAATTTTTTCAGTTTTCTTCTAGTGCTTTTATAGTTGTGTTGTTCTGTTGTATGGGTTTGTGGTTTTTTTTTTTTTAATATTTCAATGCTCCATCCTTTTGCAGTGTCTCTTGCTGTACTTCATGAGATAGGATCAGACTTTTTTTTCCCATATGGATAAACAGATTTGGCATTCTACTCTTACCAGATCCTAAATTCCTCTATGTATTTGGGTTTATTTCTGGACTTCCATTCTGTTCCCTTGGTCTATCCATAATCAAGATCACACTGTTTTAATTACTGAGTCTTTATTATGTATTTTAATATTTGGTTTGCTCTTATCTCCCCTTCATAGCTTGGAAAACTCTGGAAGGAAACCATTCATGTTTCCTTATTTCCCCTTGGAAACTATAATTATCTAGTTAAAAACACTGCATTTTTTGGATTATGTTACCATTTATACATTAGAAGAACTGACATGATGTATTGAATCTTACAAAGACTGCCTTTTAGTTTAGTTCTTTTTTTAAAGATTTTTATTTATTTGACAGAGAGACAGTGAGAGAGGGAACACGGGGAGTGTGAGAGGGGAAGCAGGCTTCCTGCTGAGCAGGGAGCCCGATGCGGGGCTGGATCCCAAGACCCTGGGATCATGACCTGAGCCAAAGGCAGACGCTTAACGACTGAGCCACCCAGGCGCTCCGCCTTATAGTTTTTATTTAAGTTTTTTTGGTGACCTTTCAGAGGTATTTTTAAGTTTTCTTCATGTAGATGTTACAATATTTTGTTGTTGCTGTTGTGAATGAGAAGGGTGTCTTTGTTCCATTATCTTCTAAGTGATTATGATTTTTTTTGAAGATTTTATTTATTAGAGTATGAGCACAAGGAGGGGGAGAGGGGCGAGGGGGTGGGGTGAAGCTGAGCCGGGAGCCAGATGCAGGGCTCAATCCCAGGACCCTGAGCTGAAGGCAGACATTTAACCAACTGAGCCACCCAAGCACCCAAAAGTGATTGTGATTTTTGAAAGCTATTTTTTCTATTGTAGTCTTTATTTCTTACTAATTATCTTATAGTTGTTCTTTAGTTGAGTCCCTGGAATTTTCAGGGTCCAATCTTAAATACATAAATAGTTTTTTCTTAACTTTTATTCCTACAGTTTCTCTTGTCCAGTTGTGACAAGGCATAGGGATCCTAGGCATCATTGTCTTGTTCTTGATGTTAGTCACATTACTTACAGCCTTAGGCTTTGTTTTAGTTACTAGCTGAAGCATGCATTTACCATCTCATGGAACTTTATGTGCTTGTCCAGACAAATATAACAATATTAAGATGAAGGGATTACTCACGGTTTGGGAAGAGTTGGTACAGAGGTAGTTGACTTGTGCTTGTACAGGTAGGGATCGAGTCTGAATTTGCCACTTGGATGCATGTGTCATGAATTGGCCAAACCCGATGAAGAGGGGGAGGCTCTGTGGCTCCAGCAGCTTCATTACTTGAGCCTTGGTTTCTACCTCTGATTATCCTGGGCTGGTCCCGTTTTTTATTTTCCATGAGTCCAGGAGGTGATTTGTGCCATGCCTGGGTTCTTTTCAAGCTGGCTTTTGTCCTCAAGGAGGTTATACAGTTGACCCTTGAATAATGTGGGGGTCAGGGGCACCCACCCACTCAAAGCTCCACATAGAACTTTTGACTCCTCAAAAACCTGAACTGATAGCTTACTTTTGACTGGAAGCCTTACTGATCACAGAAGGAGTTGATTGATACATATTTTGTGTGCTCTATGTATTGTGTACTGTCGTCTTATAATCTAGGAAGCTAGAGAAAGTGTTAGTAAAATCCTAAGGAAAATACATTTACGGCCCTGTACTGTATGGAAAAATCCACGTAGAAGTGAGACCCACGCAGTTCAAACCCATGGGAACTATACTTGTCAGCTATACTTGTCTCTTTGAGGGAAATGTCTCCGAAAACATGGTGGCAAATGGCAGATTCTTGTTCTGTTCACACTAAATCCCCAGCACTTAGAAAATGAGGACATGCTGGGGAGTTGTTTTTCTCACCTAACCAAGACTAGTCACCTGCTTTAAATCTCTCTTCCCTGGCCTTCCTCTTAACTCCAGTATCCAGCTTGAGACTGGAAAGCACTGAACGGAAGGCACCAGGGATGCGGGCCCTTTATTAATGTCGTTTCCCTGTGAGTGTCCCCCCCACCCCCATTCAGGGGCCCGGCTCGCTCATACAGGCGCC